GTGGAGTTTTCTTTGCGAAACAAATTAAAAAAAAAAAGAAAACTAAGAAAACTCTTGAAATGTGCTGAAATCATTTCAAGAGGGAGTTTTCCATTTCCGGTTTTTTGTGGAAATAACCAAACAGGCCCTAAAAACAAGATAGTCCTATATGGGATATTTGAGCATTTTTTTAGAGGTTTAAAAGTCTTTAATGATTATTAGACTTTGATAAATGGATCAAAATTTAGACTCCACGTGCAGGTGGCGCGAATAATGCGCGGTTTTGAATTTTTGAAAATATGAATAGACAAGTGCAGTTGAAAAGTGTCTGTTTGTTCCAATGAGTGTTTTGAAAAATTATGACTGTTGGAAACACATTTTCAAACCTATAAATAGTTTATAATTTCAGATATCTAAACTTAACTTCTTTTTCAAAAATTTCCTGTCAAAAACATTTGCAATACTACAACTTGTTTCACAACAAATTAGTGGGAAATTCCAGTTTTGCTTGCTGGAATGTTCATTTTCTGTTGTATCCTGGGAAGAAAATTTACATTAACCCGAAGCAACTTTAAATATCAAGTGGGGTAAATATTTCTTTAAGGAAAGTGTTTCACGTCTCAGAATTTCTGTCTCCTTTATAATTTTTCTAACGTTAATATCTTATTAAATGTTGGTGTTTTGATCAAACAAAATATGTTCTCCTAAAACCCAATGTTTTATTTTATACCAACTTCTTGTACAAATAACTTAAAATCAGGATTAACAGATTGTAAAATATGTCATTTCTGCGATAAAAAAATTGTTCGTGGCAGTTCTATTGAAAATCAAATAGGCCATGTCTCCTAGTTGCGCCCACAGGCCTCAGGGCCCAGCCCTAAGAAAAGCAGAATAAAAATAGAATTGGTTGGAGATGGTGAGAAAACACAAAAGTTTTTATTCATACTTGTTTCCTAATTATTTATTTTTAAATTCTACATCAGCCTAATTTTTATTACTGTTTTAGTTTTGAACTATCTTATTAAATTCTCATATCCATTAATATAAAAAAACGGTGTAACAAAAAAGAGTAATTAATCCATCTGTAAAAAATAAAAGAGTTAGTTGTAAATAGATCTCCTTTAGTATTACTCAATTGAGAATAGACTCATTGCAGTATTGGTCTAAGTAAGAATACACTCACTGCCCTAGTAATCTTTTTTTACTCTTTTAAAAGTCATAACAATTAATTATTCAGGAGCTATCATCACCAACAAAGCTATAGGGAGTTCATCCTAAAGAGTTGAAAGAAAAAAAAACAGTGAGAGGGTTATTTTGCACAAACATAACTGTAGAGGTGTATTCACAATTACTTCAAAATAAAAATTTATTTTTCATATTTTCAGATCCGCTTTCATCTACTTCTTTATTACTAAAAGGGAACAACAAAAAAACTAAAATGAACAGTAACCTAATTTTGAACAATGAAAAACTTATCTCCCTACTATCTCTCTCTAAATAAACTTCCAACGATCCACGATAACTCCCAATCAAATAACCAACTGCTCCTTCAGCCAACGTGTAACTCCCAACGGTTTTTCCTTCCCCTCTAATCAATACTAGGTCTATTTACTCATATTCTCAACTTTTCTATTTACTAGGATCTTTATCTTTTCTCTCTTCGTTCTTTTTTTTGTCTGAATCCCTAACTGATCGATCGATCGATCGATGCTGATCGCATTGGAGAGAGGAGGGAAAATCGAACGATTAGGTTTCGATCGTCTCAGCGAACGAGGAAGAAATCAAAGAGGAAGAAGACGAAGGATATCGTCGTCGTTGTTTCTTCCGTCGTGATCGAGGAAGGGAAATAGAAGGAGTTGGTCTAGTTCTCAAACGACGGCGAAGTCGAGGCGGCCGAGGAACGCGATCTCGACGACGATGATGAGGCTGATGAAGAGAGGGACTGAGAGATCCGGCCATCGTCGCCGTTGCTGCTGCTGCTGAGAGGAGGAGCTCATCGTATTCAGGTTTGGGTTTTAAGTCGCAGTGCCCTGTTTGGATCGAGCGGTGTTCGCTTGAGGATGTAATTTTCACCATTTTTTTTATTTTTTCATGAATTTGAGTTTGTTTTCAAACGGCTTTTAGTTTGAGCATGAGAGTTTCTTCGCTGAAACCGATTGATGATATCGCGAGATCTGAGGAGGAGAACGAGAGTTCCTAAATAAATCAAGGTTTGATTTTCTAATCTTTTCCCTTTTTATCTGTTTTTTGTTTTGATGGTTGATTTAGAAGAAACTGGTCAAGGAGTTGATTTTGGCAGTTGCATTCATGAAATCGTACGTCAATTTAGTGGATTGGTGAATTGATATTCTTAGATTACAATAGCTTTGTGAAATTTGTTATGTTTTAGTTTTTTATTTTTATCTTTGATTCTTGATTTGTTAGTTATTATAAATTGATGCTCAGTTCCTGATCAAGTTAACTTTGAGAAATAGAGTTTTTTTCCCTGGTTTATTTTATTAATCAGATGTGAATGTTGATCCCTACAACAGATTTTGTCAATATTTTTTTTCACAAAATTGGATTTTCCTTGATCAGAATCATGTTGCCTTTACATTGGGTAAAAATAAATTATGAAGGAAAAGAAATCTGTTGCTCAAAGACCCCGAAAGAAGTTTAACTAATTTTACATTTTTTTGCCGCCAAAAGTGGTTGATGAAATTATGAACTTTACACCCACTAATTGCATATTTGTATACTAATAAATGACTTATACAACATTAATGCGGTCTATGACTTATGGGTTGTAGTTTCATAGCCTTATGCATATTTGCAAAATATTCCATTCATTGACAGTTTCAAACTCATCAGGGAGCAGTGTCGATACCTGGTTCGACTCAAATATGACTATGGAGTCCGATTGTGATGATGATTTCCATAGTGTTCAAGATGGTATGTGAGTTGAACTAATTCAATGTGCAATTTTCAGAAACCTGATCGGAGTGCTAACCTTATGCATGTTATTTGATAATTAAAAGTGCATTTCGTACTAAGTTTGTGAGTATTAAACTTTGAGTGTGCTTTCTGAAATTTTGCAGATGCCATGACATGAATCCTGTCTAGCAAGTTACAGGTAAGAATTCTTCATAATTACATATTAATTATGCAGTTTAAGTTCATGCATGCACAACTAAAAAAGCAATCTTGAAAAAGTTTTGTTGACCAGGGAAGTGCTCAGAAGAAGGGATGAACATGTTTTACTCCAAGGTGTAGCATTTATCAGAGAGTAAAAGAAAACATATCCGGAAGAACATAGTTATACGAATCTAGAATATCTATATGAACTTTTGACAACAGATCTATGTGCTTATCTACTGATTAAGGAGAAATGAAAGGTGAGTTATTGAAAAGCCCCTAATATTTGTATGGTTCTCTGATCAAATTCACTGGTTAATGCAATCTTCGGTATCAACTTCTCCATCCAGACTACCTATATTTTCGAATAACGGAGCTGCAGAAGAATTTTAAGCTTCGTGTTGTTCTGTGCCATGTTGATGTGGTAAGCTTAATTGATTTTAGTCTTCATACATGGATCACTGGTCTTTCTTGCTTGAAGTTGAGGGCTAACTTTAATATAAGTATTGTTTCTGGGTGGAAGAAAAACCATATGATGTAGTTAGATTTGGTGAAGTTTGAGAAGTTTCCAAGTTAGTCTTACTGTAGTTTTTAATTAATTGGGTGATATCTATTTGCTCATCTCTTCATATTTTAGGAAGATGTAATTAAACCTTTACTTGAAGTTACAAAAACAACAATGCTTCATGATTGCACCCTTCTATGTGGTTGGAGATATGGTATTTTCTAGCAAGATATTGTGTGTCTTTGTAGATTGACGCTATGTTAATTTTGCGACATATAAATATTGGTAAGAATTTTTTCATTGTTTCCTATTTTTCAAGAACGATTAAATGATACTGAAAGAGATATATTTGATACAAATACAATTTATTAGTTCTTTCTAAAAGAGAAATGATTATACAAATTTAAGTATTGATTGAGTAGTGCACTTTTGAATTCATTTACAAGATTGTTGAGTAGTAAGTTTGTGAGTTTTAAACTTTGAGTGTGCTTTCTGAATTTCTGCAGATATGTTTTCTTTGAATGGACATGAAGGTGCTTCTGTTTCCAGCAAGCCGTCTATGAAGTTCAAGATGAATATGCGAAAACTACTTTCATTGTTATGAACAAGGAAGCTGAAAAATTAGTTAAAATACCAGCTCAAGAGGTTGCGCAAACAATAAAATATGTGATTTTACTTCTTGAAGAGAAAGGGAGTAGACTTGCTATCTTTCATGTTCTTCCATGTCGATATAACACATCTATGTACCATTATCTTCTATTATAGAAAAAATTCAGCAAATAGATTTTAATTTAGAGGGTGAGTAACGTGAGTACTTTGCCTCATCGCCTATCACAAAATCTAGGTTTATTCATGGGAATTTTGAATTTAACACTGTCATTAATAACTTAAGTTTTACGCATTACAACAAACATCTGAAGAAGTTTAGATATGGCTCTTTGAGCTCCTCTCTACCATCATGAACATCTTAATGTTGTTGTAGAATGATTTTATGTTAAAGACTGTAAAAGAATAAACAAAAAAAAGTCAAAATAGATGGAATGACAACTCTTAAGTTTTAGAAATTTTCACAAGCTACGAATCGAATATACCTTTGGTCAAATTCTATTCATTCATAAGCCAAACACTAAATATTATTTGTTTAGTAGTAAATGAACTATTGAATCAAACTTGATCGAATATCTGGATGAATAATAACCGAACTGTTTATTAATTATTCGGTTCACTTTTCGCGGGTGTAAATACTAGTTTGTTAATACATTTATTTCTCCAAACGGCCAGTAATGCATCCATCTTTCCTCTGACACCTGTCCGTTTCGCGGGTCCCACACATAACACCATGGAGCATGCAGCTATAAATGTAGAGTCCCGGTGAGCTTTTTTGCTCCTCCCTCCAAAACTTTGTTTCGCCTTTATTATTTCAATTTCAATTTTTTTATTTTTGGAGGGAGAATTCTCGCTTCCAATTCTAGAGAGAGGAGACCAGATCAGCTAAGGTTTTGGAGCGAAACGAAGGAAATCGAGGTGAGGTCCCTAATCGCTCCTCGAATTTCGAATATCCTCATCGAATTCCGTCAGATCTGTTGATTTTAGCTCGTAAAACTTGCGAATTCGTTGGACAGTGGAAAGTTTTGATCGTTGTTCTCTTTTTCTTCGTGTTCGTGGTTTGGATCTCGTGGATTTGGTGAATGCTAACAGATCTGTGAGGCGAATTAGGGTTTCTACTTTCGTGTTGGTAAATTAGGGTTTTGGTTGGTTAAATCGACGCTTGTTGTTGATGGATCGTTGTATATTGCTGAATTTGGTCTTTTAGATTGTGAAATATTCAGATTAGGGTTCTTTGAGGGTTATTAGTGCAGAGTATTCGGCAAATTTTTGGGTGAATTCTTAATGCTTAAGCTCATTTATGCTTACTAGAATTCTTTTTTCGTACAGTTGCAGTAGAAATTTATCTCCCCTCAAATTTGGTTGCTTAATTTGATCAGGGAAATATCAGACATGGAGAAGTCATGCTGAGAATATCAAGGCCATTTCATGTGTTTGATCAATGTTAAATAGTTCTTTATCACCTTAGGTGCTCGCTTGTTTGGTACATTTCTTGCTTGTTTGTGTTTCTCTTAGGTGCCTTGTTTCTTTGCGAGTTTCAAATGCTTGGCCTTTCTCTAGTAGAATACAGTTTTTTCTTTATAATTAACCAGTTTCAGAACTGTGGCTTTTAACAACATTAAATATGGATTTGAAAAGAACAGAGTACATCAGTTCTCCAGCCATGAAATAACTCAAGGTGCATTGTAATCTAACTTGTCATGTTGTAAAGATGGAGGTTCTAGGAAAAAGTGAACCAAGTTTCAAGTTGTATGATTTTGTGCCCTGTTACCCATGAGTCTTTTGAGTGTTTGAGTAGCAAGCAAACAGCAGAAGCATACTTTTTCCCACCATTTGGGTGCATAAACGGTGCACATTTTGCTTCATTTGCATTTATTTTTAATCTTTATAATGTACAGTCATGTCAATATCACATCGTCAGTCCTACATTATAGGTCAAGCCAACAATAGCTATCCTGTAAGCGCTATATATGCTCGGTGTCATCTTTTTAATAGACTATTACTAATATTTTTAATAGTACATTCTAACTGTGGTCCCTGAAGTCTGGGAAAAACCCGAGTACAATCTTCTTTTATCCAGTATAGAATACAGTTATATGCAACACTGAATATGCCATCGATTATGAAAGCAAACGTACTGGTTAGGTGACATATAATTGCCACATGATTTTCAGTTTTGGCTATATTCAATTGCCGTGCTCAAAATCCAGTAGAAATCGACTGATACATATTGATGTTAACCTACTCTTCAAAACCGTGTAACAAGTATGATTTGTACTTGTTGTTGGTAAGTAAGTAAAGATGGAAGTGTTTGTTTCCACTGTCAATGCTGCGGTGACTATAGTTTGTTTTCAAGATTTAAAGTTCCCAAACGTGCAAAGAGCTGGATTTAAGATTGAAATATGAAATAAGCTCCATATTGATTAAGTTTGGACTTTGGAATAGTTTAGTATTCACTTGGTTTTGTTTGTGTTGTCCTCTCTCTTCTACCAGATTTGTTTTGTGTTACCCATATTTTCCAGTTTTTGAAATTTTATGCCCAATCTGTATCATAACAGCGAGAGTGTTACTGCTCATATTATCTAAAGACTATATATATATATATAATATATTATTATATATATATATATATATATATAATATATGGGAAAAGTGAATCTAAGGTGACCCCTAGCTCCCACCTAAGACCGCGGCTAAAATCACATCATTTCGCTTTTTTTTTTTGGCGATCCGCTCTGTTAAACTTGATCTATACATTCTTAAACCAAACACACAATTTTGGGGTGAACGCCGTTGTGTTTTTGACTATTCGTTGAGCCGTGCAAAAAGTTCTATTCATTCGAAACGCGTTAAAAATTGCAGCGAGTGGGATAAGGGTCAAAATATGACGGGTTCATCCCAAAATGGTTGTGTTTGGGTTTAAGAACGTGTAGATCAAGTTTAACGGAGCGCGATCGCAAAAAAATTTAGAAAATTATGTGATTTTAGGCGCGTTCTTAGGTGGGAAGCCTTAGGGTGTCGCACCTTTGCATTCACTTTCCCTCAATATAGTATTATAATATATATATATATATATATATATATATATATATATATATATATATATAGAGAGAGAGAGAGAGAGAGAGAGAGAGAGAGAGAATGGGTATGCTTGGTACCAAGCACAAAAAGTTATGCTTAGTAGTGAGGTGGCATAATCTCCTCCACCCATTCAAATGGTTGCATATCCCAATGCACTCCTCAACCCATGTGAATGTGTTCCCCCATTTGAATGAGTGGAGGGGATTGTGCCACCTCACTACCAAGCACAAAATTTGTGTTTGGTACCAAACATACCCATATTTCTCATATATATATATATATATTTACATTGTTCTGAAATTATTTCTCTTTCTCTCTACAGGTTGTAGTCATAGTCAACTGCAGCATACTAATTACTTGCTGCCATGGTGGAGATTGGATCACAAAATATGCAAACCGTGAGTGGTTTTAACTATGTAATGATAAATTATATGTTTTCATCTTGCTAAAACTTATCCTTCCTCTTGATTGAATCTTTAGTATTTCTGGTCAAGTTGGGTCAATTCTTTTATCTTCTTTATTTTCTCCTGTATAAAAAGATAACTATGGTCTTGGATATTTGATATTTGAAATCATTTTGATACAGGCTGTATTGAGTGATTGCCCGAGTTTTCACAGCAGTCAACATCCATCTGGTCGGTTCCCGAAGGTGTCTATTGGAATCACAGTCAACAAATGCCCAAAGACAGGGCCTGATCTAATAAAAGAAGACTCTGCTGTCTTGCCTGCTGGAGGGAGAACAGTTTCACGGCAAGCTGCAGAAGAAATTACCAAACAGAGAACTGTAGAAAGGTTGAAAAGAAACAAATCCAAGTTTGTTGAAGACAATAAGGCTTCAGCATGGTTTCAAACAAGTTCTGTACAAGTAGAGACACCAAGAACAGATGCAGTTAAGGCCTCTCTAGATAGGGCATCACTACTGGAGTCAGAAGATGGTGTTCACAGAAAACTTGGGACTGTTGCCTATGGCAACAGAAGAGAGAAGGGTGGAAATATTGAAAGAGTGGAAGAAGTTGCTTTTGCTGCAATGCAAGCGGCACAGTTGGTTGACAAAGAAAATGCCATGGAAGAACCTAAAGAAACAACTAAATTGAACGAGGAAAGAGTAAATACTGCTTCATATGGAAAGAAAAGGGAGAATAATGGAGATGTTGAAATGATTAAAGAAGTCGCATTTTGTACAAAACAATTGCCAGGTGAGGAGAAAGGCAAAGAACAGGGAAAAGTTGCTAGCTGCAACAGTGAGGCTCTTAAAATGAAGTTATGGGAGATCCTGGGTACAGCTCCTTCGGGGAATAAACATCCCATGAATTCACCAGACAATATGAAGTACACAGAGAATTTAGATCTTAGTCAAACTAAGGAAAATAAGGAGGAGAAAATAGCCAGAGCAGAGCTGAAGTCACCAGAACTTAAGGAGAAAAAAGAGAATTTATGGACAAACCAAGGCAAGGAACATAAGGAAGTTAAAGCATCCAGAATGAAGCCAATCTTACATGAAGTTGAAGAGAACAAACAAGAGTTACATATAAGAGAAAGCAAGCAGCCTCGGAAAAGGAAAGCTGCCCCCAAACAACACTCTGATACTATTGAGACTGATTCAGAAAGTCCCAATCAAGCCATGAGGAGACCAATCACCCGTTCTTTAACGCGAAAGAAAGCTTCACCAAAAAGAATAAAGAAATTCCAGGGTGATGTTTGCTCCGGAAAGAAGCCACTGACCTCTTCCAGCTCTGATTTCAATTTCGATGTTGAGAAAAGTAACATATTTGCCTTTGAAGTAGAAGGTAAATCGCGAGGGTTAGGTCATCCTTTGAGCGGTCAGTCTAACAGGTCTAAGGAGAAGAATAATGAGAAGGAATACGTTAAATTACGAAAAATTTACTTTTCTAACTCTACCTCAGAAAAGAATTCACGTAAGAGTGACAAGGAAAAGTCATCATCTTCACCAGATAGGGCATCATCAATGAGCAAGAAAAAAGAGAAATCTTCTGTACCATGTCAAAACAAGAAACAGTTTTTGCAAACAGAGGATGGCACTCAAAACGATAGCCACTACTCAGAAAGAGCTGAACAAGCTGATTTTGGTTGTCCTCTGTGGGCATATAAAAGAGATACTTGTGAAAATGCTGACAGTCCATTACTTAAAACCAAAAGGCATTCATGGGGATGTGAGAATTGTTCTCCAGAAGCAAAGCAAGCCTTTCAGCATAATGATGTTACTGGTCGATCCATGGGAAGGAAAACCAGTCAGTTGGATGATTTCTGTAGTCCAACACTTGCAGTTAATATATCTCCAACTTCAAATATTTCACGCGGTAAGGTTTCATCAAGTCCTCTAGGTACTTCACCTTGCAGCTCAAAGGATTTAGGTAACGCCAGTCCAGGGTCTTGTCAATCAGATGCAGATACGGAATCCTCTGTATCCTTTGTCTTGCTGTGTTAGAGTATTTTATTTTGGATTGTCTTCCATATACCACCTTTTTAGATCATTGACAGTCTCTCTCCTTTGTCTTTGTTTCTCCTTGATAAGCTTTTATAGGATGATACTATAGACATTGGCAAGCCAAGAGACATGGAATCTCCATACATGACAGATGAACCTGAAAAGCAGCAGTCTCTTTCGCCAATTGAAGAACATGACACAGAAAGTGAAGTGGAAGACCTCACACGCCAAGGTCATAGACTGTTCTTAAATGTTTATATCTAATAATTAGTGCAGGGTTACCTGCGTAATAATTTGATTTTACCTCGAAGTCTACTTTATCAGCTCATTGTCTTGTTTCGATGGTTGGCTTTCCCATCTAATTATAATAGTTGCAGTAAACTTTGTTTATTTAAACCTTTCTTTTACAACTGGCATACACACACAACTCCACACCTTCAATACGCATACACCAAAACTTTTCTTGCTTGACAATTTGTATATATTCTAGCATGTTTTTATTTTTTGGGTTATAGATAGAATCATAGATTTTATTTTAGAGTCCAGTTTACGTTAAAGAGTTGAATGTATAATCCAAGCTTGATCTAGATTATCTTTAGTAGCCTTGTTGCTTATGGTGAAATAGTTAAAATTTTGAGCTTTTACACAAATCATTTCAATTTTCTAATAGTATCTGTGCTCCTTAAATAAGTTTGATGAGAAGAGTGCGATGAATTGTATGAAAATAATCATGACGATTTCTGTATGTCAGAATTATTTATATGGTTTTCTTTGATTCAGGGAGAATATGCTGCATGCATTTAGTTTAAGTAGTATTTTTTTAACTTCAGGTTCTTATTTCTCTTTTATCGTTCATTTTATTTATGAACGTTTAGTAACAGGAATTTATTTATTTATTTTTATTTTAACTGATAAGAACCTATGTTGCCTAGGTACGGGTACGGGTACGGGTACGGATGCGGGTACGGGTACGGGACACGGTAAATTTGTAAAAAGTAGGGTACGGGGACACGGCTATATATATATAAAATAATTCACTTTAGATCAATATTCCATAAGTTAAAACTATATTCCTTGCATAGGAAATAGAATAGAAAGCTATTTTTACTTTAATTAAAAATTTAGAACTAATATTATTACCTAAATCTAAGTTGCATGAAAATTGGTACTGGTACGGGTACCACCGTACGAGTAGGGGACACGACAAAGCTGTAAAATGTTGGGTACGGGTTCAAACTACATATATATATTGAATTAATAATGTACATGAGATAATTTTTTTCTGCTTCATGTGTCATTAGATTTAAAATTTCGATCACATTTTTTAGTTTATTTTATCATATTGATTATCGTGAATTGTAAACTACTCATTTTTTACTAGACATCTAAACAACCTGTTAACTATATAGTTTTGAACTTGGGTATGGACTGAAACGAACCCGACCCGTATCCCATTAGTTTCAAAAGACGGATGTGAAGTGTAAGCTCTACGTCCAGGAAGTCTTTGACAAGTGTTTTAAATTAACACATATATCGTATAATTGAGTACATGTTGTAATAAATGCATGCATATATTCAAGAAGTGTCCATGAAGTTTGGGTACGGGAAAGTGTCGGGTACGTGTCCGGTACAGGGACGGCTTCAACAATGAAGTACCCGGGTAACATAGAATTGAAAACAAAGTAAAATCAGAACTGTGCACATAAAGGAAGCTCCAATGATTATATTCGAGAGCTGAATGACATGTGTCCTCCATATTTCCAGAAAATCTTAAAAAGATGAAATGTCTCAAATTTACATGACATCCTAACTACACCATCGTAATAAGGAAAAAATATTTTCTTCTTAAAAGTCCATCTAACAATGTAAGAACAAAATATTTGCATATATCTTTGATTACGCAGTTTAACGTGCTTGCTTGGACTCAAGGATATTCTAGAAAATCTGAGAAGAAAAAGGGTCACTTGCCATGTCAGAAAAACGGAAGGGATCAATGACAAGCTAAGTAGCATGGAAACGGGCACGGGTACTGGTACGGGTGCGGGTATAGGACACGACAAAACTGTAAAATGTAGGGTACGGGGACACGACTACATATATATATTGAATTAATACTGTACATAAGATAACTTTTTCCCCTTCATGTGTCATTAGAATTAAAATTCCGATCACATTTTTGAGTTTCTTTTATCATATTGATTATCGTGAATTGTAAACTACTCATTTTTTACTAGACATCTAAACGACCCATTAACTATATAGTTTTAAACTTGGGTATGGACTGAAACGAATCCGACCCGTATCTCATTAGTTTCAAAAGACGGATGTGAAGTGTAAGCTAATCGTCCAGGAAGTCTTTGACAAGTGTTTTAAATTAACACATATCGTATAATTGAGTACATGTTGTAATAAATGCATGCATATATGCAAGAAGTGTCCATGAAGTTTGGGTACGGGAAAGTGTCGGGTACGTGTCCGGTACGGGTACGGCTTCATTATAGAAGTACCCGGGTAACATAGATAAGAACTATGCGTGAAGGTTTCACGGCTTGCACATATTATGGTAACAGAACTTTGCAAGGGCAATGTGAAAACTTAACCTGGCTATCGGTCAAGTCCCCTTCTTACATTAGTTGCTTAGTGTAAGATAAAATTTACTTTTTCGGATAACTACAATTTATATGCGCTGGATAATTTTAGACATAATTTGGCTAGTTTTCCCCTTAGAAAATAATTTGGCTTGTTTGATCACAGAAAATTGTACAATCTAATACTCAAATGTTGGTGATATATGCTCTCACTTAAATTGCAAACTTTGTAGGAATTCTTTTAAATTTTATGTCATATGTGTGCTAAGTTTTATGACATATCATTTGCACATGTAGGTTTGGGACAGACTGGCAAATGGTTTCCTAATACTGAAAGCCCCAAAAAATCCTCAATCCCCCTTCATGACACCAAAATAATACGAAGCCTAAACAATGTTAAAGTGGGTAGAACTAACCTGTCTCCACCTTCTTCTGTAGGAGCCTTCAGTAAGTAGTGAAATTTTCCATCTATTTCTTGTTTCTTCATTTGACTTCAAACATGTACGTCCTTGTCTTAAAATTTTCAGGATCTGAAGAAACGATTGCTTCATTTGATGATTTAGAGCAATACCCAGAAGGCAGCTTGGCAAGGTCTTTTCCTTGTTTCATATATATCTTGGTTTTCCATATATTTTAGGTTTTATTCATATTTGTTGGTGCGCCACTGGGGTCAGGTGTTTTGTCCAGTTGATAGTGGCATTGCAGAAATTCAAGGCCAGAATGAAGTCTCACTGCAGCAAAAGAAAATCAGAGATATTGTCAGCTGCAGCAGATAAGATCCGTCAGCAACTGGAGGATGTTGAGTCCCAGATACTGGGTGACGTGTGAGTTTACTACAATTCTACTAAAAGGGAAACATTAGTTCTTTAGCTCAACCTTAGTTAGCTTTATCTTTCTTCTCCGGTTCGCAGGGGAAAAATTAATGACCTTGGCAAGTCGAAAAGGAAGCGTCTAGAGTCGAGATTTCAAGGTAGAGTGCCTATTTTACTCATTTAATTTTGTTTAGTTTATATCAGCACATGGTCTTCATCGAAACCGCTGTCATATTCTTCTTAATTGCTTCAATCAAGTTCTCTTAGGCTTGTCTCTAGTCCTCCTTATTAATTATAATCTTATGAAGAGAGCAGGACATTTTGTAGTGAAGTTATTGTTCTATTTGAACAGAATGCTTCTTTTCGGGCTTACGGGTATCTGATTATACATCTACATTTTCTCTTCGTTATTTTTGATCCTGCTGATAATGGTAGTTAGTTTTAAATAGAATCAACACTATCGCAAGGCGAGCTATAATAATGACCAGTAGCTGAGCCTTTTAAATATTCGCTTTGCTCATGGAATAGACGTGGTCAGTTAAGTATTAAAGTCATTTATAGCGTGTAAATTTTGAAGTGATCTCTTCACAATTACATTGATTTCATTGTAGTTTTTACTATTTGGGTCGCTTTTCTTCTCTCTTATTTATATGCAAATGCTTGAGCTCAAATGATTGTATCTTTTGCTCGCATACAGAAAAGCAGGAAAGTATAAAGCACATTCATGACAAGTTCAACGAGGAGATCAATCATCATCTCTTGGACTGCAGGAGCATCCTAGAAGATCTTGAAGCGTGCAATTTGGAATTAAAAGGAACTGCAGACCGGCAAAGTATGTGGTCCTTATCTATCAAACAATTGTACCCCCTCCTACCTGCACACTTGTATATTCTTGAAATATCCTTAAGGGGAAAAAAACACGTTGACTGGCCATTTTATATATACAAGATTCATAAGTTAATGCAGTTCCTAACACACATGATTCCAATTGTTTTTACATGTAGACACACTTAGGTTGATCCATGTGCATTCACTATGAGCATAATGTGTACACAACTTTGCATACATTTAGTTTATATATTTCACTAGTGTTGTGTAGTTTCAGGACGTCAAATGAAACAACGTGCTTGAAAAAAGTTAAGAGAACCATCCAGGCTAACTCCATTTTAAAGACTTTATTTGACTACTAACTCTTATCTTCCATTCAGGCAAATACTTTTTCCTTGTGTCAAATATGAATAGTACTTTAAATTTTTTTACTTGAACCTCATCTTATTTTTGTTGGTTTTTCTTGTATGAGCAGAAGCATCACATAGGAAGCTTCTTTCGCAAGTCGCGGAAGCACTTGAGGCTCAGGTTAACACTGCAGAAACAAGCATTGCTGCAATCCGCAAGGCATGTTATCTATTAACTAGCTTTTCTAGTGTTACCAATTGAGAAGCCAAAATGCATTTGTTTTCTTTCTATTTAATCTGAAGGAATTTGAAAACCTGCTCTGATCATTGCATTGCAGGATGAAAAAAGAAAGATGGCTGGTTTAAGACTTGCTCTGAAGGAGTGGATGGGGGACTGAACCCTAGGTAATGGATTCTTTTTCTTATATGGTCGAAATGTATAACGATCTCCTAAAAGTCTTTTATAGTATGGTAGCAGTTTAAAGCTTGACACCCTTTTTCGCCGCAATTGTAAATGGAGGACAGTAAGCATCACACTTTTTCTCTCTCTCTCTCTACACCATGTTAAACAACACTAACGAGTCTTCATCATGAAGTGTCATTTTAGCTAGCAGGAGAACCAATGCTTCGTCCATAATAAATTTTGTTGTGTGCCGTATATACACTTGCGAACGAGTCATTTAGATTGTACATGTTGATGTTAATGAAGTTGTGTTCTGGTGATTGTTTCCTGTCTACTTCTATGTTCATACAGCATAATAAGTTGTGGCCATTGCTTCAGATGCTTATTTGCATGATTAAAGCGTGGATATGGTTTAAATTTCATCAATCTTCTGGGCGTCTTCTAAGCACCGAAACATTAGCCTTTACTTAGTTGTGAAACCGTAGGTTGCTACCCACTAGCGGTCTTAAGATTGTAGTTACCGATCCCAACATTAGTTTGTGTGTACATGTTGAATATTGGGTGAGCAGTGATCTATATATGGTCTATGATTCTTCCTCTCATCGAATCTAATCTTAACGGATGTTTTGAAGCTTAACTCAAAACCCAGAATCTCATTCACTAAAAAACGTGGGGATGTTGTTCTGCTGACCTTATCCAAACTAAACATTATCATCAAGCCCTTTGTCTCTATCCAATACATCTCTAGATAACATATTTTATTCTCTAGTGTCCTCGTCTACAGTTTGTTAACAAGCTTAACAAAATGTGGTGACATCCTTTCTACTTTCTGTTTTCTTTTCTTTAAAGCTTTGATTGTCAGCTTCTTCCATATGCTGTTAGTGTACGACTTTGCTTCTTGCTTCACTCTAAAGTAAAGTATTTCTCTGGAACTTGAGTAATCTTTGCAGGGCTCATGAGACAATAAATCCAAAACAGTCTTCAGATTCACAAACAACTAGAATACATTAGGAATTAATAAGCTTGAATCTAAAATTATTTTGTTAGTTAAAACCCTGCATAGTACTCTTCAATCAAGTTTGATTTGGCAAACTCCTTGTTTTTTCCCCCCTCAAGATAATGCTTAGAAAATTTGAACAATGCCCGCGTCCCTGGAAAAAGTAGAATCGAAGCTGTAGTTAGCAAGACTTGGTCGCCTGTGGTCCTTACTTATCTTTAGCTTTTCAATACTTGACAACCATCTGATTTTCAGGAATAAGCTAGAAATAAGGATAAAGCTGAGATTTTACTTACGTCAAGAATTAAATAGACAACGAGGATTGGAGTCATTTGATCCTCCCAAATTACCACATAATTAGATATAATCTTAATCTGAGTATTATTATGTTAAATATAAGTCGCCTAAAAGGTGTTAATTGGTTGGGGGGTAAAGGAAGCAGAAAAAGGATACCGAGACTGATTCTAAGGACAGAATTAAAGCTTTTTCCATCACATGGCAAGTCAGTAGGAGGAATATGTACCCCTGAGATCTAATTAGGCAGATGGCAACATCACCCATCGTCAGTTTGGGGGTGGCGGGAAAAGATGAAAATTTAATCATAATAAATTCCTTTTAATGACTCAGTATCAAAGTGCAAACCTGAAAGGGTTAAAGAGAAAGAAGCATTGAGAAGTTGAGGAGCAAGGCTCAAGGAAAACACCTTAATACCGAACACGTTCACCAAATCAGTCTCAAATTAAAAAAAAAAACCAGTATGGGAAATAATTGTGACAGGTGGCATGCATGAGTGAGCAACACTCACGTGGTCTTGCTCATAATTTCGTTCTTTTTCAAACCAGGGATCCAAAGGATTAATTAAATATAAAATAATCCCTAAACAAAGACTCCAGCATCTGCCCCCCATTTATTTACTACCTGCGCTGCAAGGTAGATACGTAGATATAAATGGAAAGAAAGATCCAACCCACTTAAAAACATATTTTATTACTCCGTATCCATACATAGAAACAAAACATTCAAGGCGCACCAACCAGCAGTAGTCTGCTTAACTTGTGAGTTTTTAATGGCTTTCTTTTAGGAACACCAATTTTTCTCACTCAAATGTTTGTCATTTAAAAATTACTAAATTTATTTATATAGTGGCAAACAAAAGTAGAAAAAAATAAAAAAATAAAAATAAACGTCAATTAGAAAGCAGTAACAAGGCTCATTTAAACCAAATATCTTAATACCTTGCAATCAAACTGTTTTTAAAGAAAAGTTTAATTGCCAATTAATTGAAGATTATTACAGATACCATCACAACAACCTCCGAAATAGTAAACCAATTAGTCCTAATCTTGACATATCCATCAATATTAATGGCGCATATGAGCCAGTAAAATACTAGGATTCCTTCAAAAAAAAAATAATGCTAATGGGAATCCTTGATTTCCTATATCATTAAGCATTATTAGCCCTTGAGATAATGCACCTCCTGATACTAATAAACAACACAAGGAATTAGGGCAAAGCAAATGGAATGACAGTACTCGGAGGATTCAAGCTTGTTCATTCAACTGCCAAAAAAAATAAAAATAAAACCCGTTAAAAGACAGCAAAAAACACCATCCAATGAGGATTAATAGGAGTCGCTCAGAAAAATATTAGTATACTGATCCAAAACTTATTATTATTATTTCTTGATATATCATAGCAAGGATCAAGGTCACCCTTTTTATTCTGTCAAAAAATTTATCGTTCTAAAAAAAATATATATATAAAAAACAAGAGGACGCCGTGATCAATGACTAATTAAACAAAGATTTTCCTGGCTATAGCTAGTTTCCGACTAAAGAGGATGGATGGGAAGAAGGGGAGGAGGAGGAGGAGCCCTTGTGGTCCCCGTTCGCCCCGCGGCCGCCCCCGTTGTCGTCATGTTTTATTTTCCTGGAGGCAGGCGCGCGGCGCCCCTGCATCGTGGACGCGGCCCCGGACGCACCTCCTCTCATCTCGAAGACGGTAACTGCTTAGCTTGTGTGCCATACCAACCTTGAACACCCCCCCTCTCGACGCGATGGCCCTGCACCCCTCTCGACAGCCCTTTTCCTCCTGCCTCTGGAGCCGCCCACCCCCAGCGCCCTCCGTCCAGCTCCATCATCCACTCTTCTGCCTCCCTGCTGAACCGGCTCCTGAACCTCTCCCTCCGCGGGCCCCGCCCAGCCGAACGCGGGTCGCCCGCGACGCTCCCCGGCGCCCGGCCGCCCCGGTCTTCAGGAGTGCAGCCAGCGACGTGGGACCCGCCTCGTCCTCGGAGTCCTCGGACCTCGCCGCCGGGGGGTCTCGGCTGGCGACCTTGCGGTGGAAGTTGCGGTGGCAGCCGCAGCGGAGCACGTGAAAATGATCTTATACAGGGGGGGAGAGGGCGAGGGAGGGGAAGGAACTCGCCGCCAGCGTCGAGGCGTGGGCCCCCAGGAGTGCAGGCGTGAGTTGCGGAGGCACTCGCTGGTAAGTGGGGCCCGGAGCCGCGCGAAGCGGCCGCGCGTCCGGGTGCCCGTGGGTTTTTCCGATGGTGTCCATTATTTTCCCTGCTTTATATATTATTTTTTATTTTTGGGTCGGTCGGATAGAGAGGGAGAGACGGAGGAGAATTTTTAGGATCGGGTGTTGGGGCGTGGGTTGGAAGCAGGAGAGAGACTTGGGGTTTAATTAGGAGGCGGGGGGCTTATTAATTGCGCCATTTAATTGTGCTGTTTGCAGCTTTAATCTTCTCTTATTTGGAATTGTTTGATGCGCAGGTGGGGGTTATCGTCCTGGGGTTTTTGCTTTTTTTCGTTTAAGTTTGAGAGTGATTAGTTGTAAACAATATGCTATTTGCTTTAGAATTTCTATGTATTAGTCATCTACCCTGTTATGTTATTTTTAAATTATTATCTACAGTCTGTTTTTTTTTTTAAAAACAATCATGATGTTCCACACTGCTTTCTGTCTTTTTCTTAAATCGTGTCAAAACAAATGCTAAGTTTTTTGGTCAACATTAGTTTGACACATTACATGATTAGTATTAAACATAAGTATTAATATATTTATATTATTTATAATAAAATATATTGTAAATAAACGTTATAATATTTAGTTTACATTACTTATAGTGGTAGACGTATTAAATATAATGCAATATAAAATTATATAATGATTTATAATATTTATCTGTACTTAATTTGAGTTATATTATATTTATAATTTACATATATTTTCAAATAATTATATATTTAATTATTTTGGTATATCAATTTGTTATTATTATATATTATATTAATATTTTTATAATAATGTTATTTCATTATTAATATAATATTATACTATTATTCATATAATATAATATTATTAATAATGTTAATTTAATGTTATTAAATAAATTAATATATTATAAATATTTTAGTATTATGTAATATATTATTGTTATATAGTATTATGTAATATATTATGAATATATTAATTTAATGTTATTAAATAAATTAATATTTTAGTATTATGTAATATATTATTGTTAGAGTTTATTAATAGTAATTTAATAATATATTAATAATTTATGATATAAATAAATATTGTTATATTATGAATATATTATTATTACATTAACATTTATTAGCAATAAAATTATTCTATTTATTAAATAATATATTAATATTTTATTTATTATATTACATTTACTATACTATATATTATTATAATACTATTAGTATATTATTATTTTATTTTTAAAATATGTTACTATTATATAATATTTTATAATTATTAATTTATTACAGTTTATTTATTAAAAAATAATAATAATATAGAGATTATACTATTGTGTAGTATATTATTATATTATTAGTAACTTTTTATTATTATTTTATTAGTTTATTTATATTTTATTATTATTTATTAAAGTATAATACATTGTTAACATATTAAATACTAGTATTTAATATGTTATTATATTGTTATATAAGATATTTTATTTCTTATATTTTTATATTATTTAATAAATATTACTAATATACTAGATTAACTATAATATAGTATAGTATTGTATAATATAGTACATAGTATAACAAGCATGTTGATAATAACTCTATGTTAATTACATTTAATATATTATGTAAGATATTATATTAACACATTCTCAAACTCAAAACTAAAACATCAAACTTAAAACACCTTTTAGGTGTTTTGAAATAAGTGTTGGGTTTTTTGTTTGAGAATGATTTAGCTCAAAAAACATCATGGTTTCTAAACACATAGTGTTTTATTTTTGACAAAAACACCATGAAAACAAGTAAAACATCATGGTATCCAAACGAAGTCTTAATTATTTCTTGGGTAATTAGCACTTGAATACCTAATTGTTCTTCATGTTTTACACTTGTTGATGATGGTTAACCAAACAGTCAAATGTTTAGGGGTGAGATTGATGAGGGGCCGCTCACTTCTCCGAATACTGGTCTTGAGTAGAGCAGCTTCAGCCTGCACAAAGTAGAAATTCGTGAGAGGACGAGACTTGGTTCTCCCATTGTACCTCTGATGATCAAGTCAGCTGGTGAAGAATTGTGAGAGTTCTTATGGGTAGTGCAGTATAATTAGCAGATATTCCAGAGTCAAAAATCATTTTTGTTAAGAATTGTACCTCTATTTATAGTGGTGATGGAAGGGTAGAATAGTTACTTCGGCCGAGTACAAGATGGCGGTGAAGAAGTATGGGCTGGCGGCTACGTCAGCACATATTTTACACGTGTCAGTCGGCGAGTGGAGGAGAGATCACTTCAGCATTAAACGGGAAGTGATCAGATGCATGGCAGTGCTGACGTGGTCCGATGAGTCATGAAGACTATCGGGGCTAGAGGTATGATGCGTCTGTCAAACATTAAATGCGACGCCGACGTGTTGTCAGTGGGAGAGGCTCGAGACTGAAGTCATCCTATAGCTTCGCCGAGAAGTAACGCCTTTCGGGTCGACCTCACGAGGCGTTGACTAACTGGTCGAGTGGGCTCGTTGCGATTCGTCT